CTGTCACCTGCGCGAGGAAGCACTCGTGAAGCAGGTCCTGCCCCAGAAGGTGCCCCTTCGACAGTAGGTACTCGTCGAAGCCATGCGTTCCTTAGTGAATCGCCACATCATGTCCCTAGAGTGCTAGAATTAGCATCAAGCAACACAGGGCGCGCCCCCGGACGAGAACAATAGCACCGTGCGGCTGCGTAAGACCGCACCTGCAATCGCTACCAAGGACATAATTACCTCATTACCCAAACGATTCTGTCACAAACACACATTTGAACAGACTCCCAACAGGCTAATTCCTTCCACCCAACTGCTCAAGGCAACAGCGAGTGCTGCAGTAGCAGCGATCTATGCACTCGTTGCTCACATGTCCTTGAAGACGGTCTGGATGCCGGTGTGCATTCTCGCGCCATTCTCCTCAAAAATCTCCATGATCAATGGTCGCCGACTTGCGGCTCGCCAGCTTAGGAAGCAGCTCGACCTCAATGGTGTGGATCACTGCCATGAGATTCGGCTACCACAACAACAGGGGGTAAAAAGGGGCGGTCTGCGTCGGGTCTTCGCACACCGAACACAACAAGCTACACGAACAAGAAACACGGGCAATGTACCTCAACGACGATCAACCATGAGAGGCATGGAAAGGGCTGAAAAAAACTTGGGAGGGTTGTGATTGTGTCCACCAATCAACCGTGGGCAGCGCGCGTTGAATCAAAGGATGCTGACTTCTACTTTGCTCAGCAGCCGGTTGGCCGTGGATCGAGAACATTGTGTAATGATCGCGGGTTTCCAAGAAACGAAGCACGGGTGGTGATTCCAAAGGAGAATGAAATATATGCACCGCAGCAGAGAGGCGGAGGAGCTCGTGGGAAAATTAATTTCAGCGTGGGGCAGAACCACCCGTTCTTTGAGTCACACAGCATCAGCCCGTTGGGCGTGGGATACTTGAGAGGCCCCATCTACAATCGTTCAAATCAAATCCCAGTCTTGCATTTGCGTTTTGCTCTCTTTTTTAAGCCATGATTTGCGCGGAAGTCACGCAAGTCTTAAGTACACTCAATGCAACGGGTGCGAGTTCCAGCGGCCACAGCTTGGAGACCTTACATCTGTGTAGTCAAATTACCCATTGCACGCATGAATGTAGACTATGCATATGCATCTGACATCAAGTGTTTAGATTCCTACCGTGCGTGGCGTAAGACACCACACTCCCTGGACCAATAATCAACGCTCGACTACAGCAGTCTGTACCACAATCAGGGACGGGGCCGAAAATGGCGGGGTTGGAACCGTCCTCTCGAGAGCTTTCCGAAAACGGACCATTTGGTTCGGCACCCTCTTGTTGTGGAGTACGGGCGTCGGAGTACAGCAGTCGGGCTTTCGATCCGGGGTGTGTGCATCATTATTTGCATTCAAGGGCATGAACAATGCTGCTAGCAAGCGAGTGGATGGAACTGTCCGTACTATGATGAATACTGCGAAAGAGAGGGGGAGAAGGGCGTCACCAAGGCAAACATATCACTTACAGTTGTCACAATGTTCGTTTATGGGGTGTCGCCTGTCGACAGCGGTGTCCATGGTACATGGGCCCCACAGCTGCATCACAGCTAGCTGTGTACGGCAGTGGACTGCTAGTCTACTGAAGAATCTTCCCTTCTTAGCGATGGCAACGCAATTTGTTGCCTTTCATGGCCCACAGACCTGCATATGCAACCCAGGCAGCGTTGACAACCTGGCAGGGTTCCTGCCCGTGGACCTTCTGGGGATCGAATACCTTGGCAGGGTGTCACAGCGTCCGTGCAGGGTCTAATTGCCCGCAAGGTCCGCACAGGGTGAGCTTGATGGCTACGGGTGAAGATGAAAAGCTTTACACCAGCAGCAGAGGCGAGAGCCTGCGCTTCAAAAAGTAAAATGGATTTCAACAACCACCGCTGCTGCGGTGGGTACATGCGTTCAGACTTGTCTACAACGTATGTCCATTTGCTGTGCCCGTTGCGAACTTGACTTGAACTGCAGCAGAAAGTAGCGAGAAATTGTGCTGTTGGACGTTGCCATGATGCGAGTTTCTATGGTGAACCTCAATGACAGAATCATCAGAAATGCCGAGATTAGGCAAAAGGACACAGATTGTAATTCGTTTTCGCTCGAAACCGTATTTCCCAAGACAAACTGCAAGCGGAGGTAGGTGCAGAAGCCACTACGCGAGGGTTGAACAAGAAAGATGGGTACGAATCGAATCGATTGCAACTCCTTGATCAGGGCGGTCCAGGCGTAGGTCGGGCGAAGGCACCGCCGCGATCTTGTGCGCGCAGCTTTCGCGAGCTGAGCGAAGTTGAGCACGGTAAGAAAGTGCGGACAAGATTTCTTTCAAGTGTTCCTTTGTTTGGGGCAGAAACCAAACTCACTCGCATCGGAGCGGTTCTCACCTCTCCGCAGAACTCCAACCTTCCGCACTACGCCGAACGTACGAGTGGAAGGTACACAGTTCCTCGTCGCAAACACGCTAAACAAAATTGTGTCTACAGGACGAAACGTGAAAGACCTAGAAAAGGCCAAATCATCACTGCCTGTGGTAAGAGTTATCGTCAAGCCCATGTCTACAAATAGAAGCTACCTCAGGCGGCCATGCGGTAAGGTGGCTGGAAAAGAACGTTATCGGGGAAGACTACAATCCGCTCCACCTAGGAAGCTGAATCCAGAACAACTGGTGAATGATAAGAGGTGGGCCAAAAGAAAAACGTGAACAACCTGTGCATCGCCAAACTCGTGTTCATGCTACGCGGAACATCCGTGCTCTGCATGCACTGGTAAAAAATAGCACGTGTGGTTGTCACCACAGGTCAAGCTTTTTTTCTGAACAAAGACTACAACATCGATGACCCGGAGAAGTCAGACACGAACCGTTCAACATTGCGGTCCGATTCGTCCCGCAAGATCTGCAGAGGGTTTGCCCACTACCTCCACTTCGGAACAGTGCGTTGTAACAACAGAATCAATCAAGACACAGCCCTTTTTACTCTCTTGTGGCTTCTCACTGCTCCTCTTGTGTGCGCGTCCAAATCGTTACCCCACTCGGACGGCGCCGAAAGGCAAGCATTGACGATTTGTTGAGGATGATGTCGTACGGTCGGCCATTGAAGTCTTGCCGCTCGTCAAAGGGGAGATGCCGGTACTTCTGGGCCGCCACTCGCAGAAACCTTTGTTGTGGAAAGGAATCCGAGCGCTGTCAGCATGAAAATCCCGATGACCTGATAGTCTCATCATGCATTCATGCATTCAACACCCGGCCGCGTTTCAAGACGGGGAGTTCCTCCAGTCAATCAGGACTCCAGGCCTTCCGATTCCACCCCGCCTCCTTTGATGAGCCCGGAAGCACGTGGGCATGACACGGAAGGCAGTAAATTCACATGGTGGGAGTGGTTGTCAAACACGACATCGTCAACGTCCACTTCACAGGATGTGCAAATCTTTAGTCCCACTACACTCATGACGATATTCTCACCCCACGCCGGCCGGTGCTGGATGCACTAGCACACACGAAAATCGGATTTGACACGATATCTTGAACCGAATTATTGGTCAATGTGTCCTACTCGCACCTGCTTAAACTTCGGGACGGTTTGAGTCGATCGGGCAAACGTAACTGCTGCTGTTGTCCAAGGTAAATCAGAAAAAAGCGTGTATTGCGCAGGGGTTTCAGACGAGGAGGTGGGAAGGCTGAGCGGCAGTTTGATTAACAACACCGTGCTACTTCCTTTCGAATGAACGCGATTCACAGTGCTACAGGGCCTACCTGTGCTTCGCTGATCATCACGGGAGATGCACGTGGTAAAATCCACAATCACGGTGGTGGCCTTGCCCTCTCCTTTCGGCTCGTCGTCTCCGGAGATCACGTCAGGCGGTTGTTTGTCCACCGGGCTGCCGATGATCTTGAGGGCCAGGATAGCTATGGTAAGCTAGTCGTCGAGACCGTCGCCAGCATTGGTCGACAGGGTGAGAGAATGGCCGCGGCTTCGACGAGGAGTGCTGCGACTGCCGCGCGACCGCCGGTGGCACATCGTAGCACTCCTCGTCGAACCCCCCGGCCACGCTTTCACCCTGTCGGCCCACGCTAGCGACGGCCTCGATGACGCGCTTGCCATGGCCGTGCTGTCTCTCAAGAACATCGGCAGCCCGGCCGCCCGTGCTCCACCAACAGCCTTGACACTTAGCCCAAGCCCGGAACGGCGACGACCAACTGTTGGAACGTCGACCAGCGGCATATAGCTGGCAACGTTATTATTCTTGTGTGGGTCTTGCGAGCTAAACATGTCAAAGGCTAGCAGGTGACGCCCCTGTTCCGCACTCGTGGTTGAAGAACGTCGTCGTCGTCATCCCCTAAACGGTCTGAGGGGTCATCGGGCAGCCGCTGTCGATCCGCCCAGCTGCATAGATCGCCTTTGCCATATTGCTCCCAGAAGCAATCCTGCACCGGTTCCAGCACATCGGGAACATCAGTCGCCACCGGATGGATTCCGGAAGCTACGGTTAACGTGATCCGTGCGGCTGGGCGTATTCCCCCTCGTCGAATTTCTGGCAGTTGAGTAAGGGCAAGTTTTCCGATCAGTGGCATTTGTGATGTTGGACATTCTTTTTGATGGGACAATCGGGCAACAAAAGCCGCCCTGAGGGAAGCAATTGCGATATACAAGGACGTGTAGCGTGAAAAATGCTGGACTGAGTGTGATGGACGTATTCAAGAGTACCAGCCAATTTTTTTCTTGAGCAGTGGCCAAAATCGGGTTCACCCGGTCAGAACACGGCCATAATTGGGTACCACTGCAAGACGCTGCTGGGAGCGACCGCATGACACCATCTGATTGGCCGACACCCACTCCTACCCGACCTTGGCCATCTTTCCACCGGGTGCACCCAATCTTGGCTTCTCACCCCCCAGAGAGGTACCCGGTTTTTCTTTCCCCTACCCGAAAATGGCTGGGCTGTTCGACCAAAACCCATGCACACAATCACAGGTCGGACGCACGCCACTGGCCCTCGTTTGTCGCCAATTAGCAAGTAGCGGGAGGGAGAGAAAAAGTCTATTTTGTTATTATCAGTCCCGTGTGTGTCGCATCTCGCGAGGGAGGTATTCTTCCAGCTCTTCTTCTCGATCATTTGCACAGACAGACCGCCTGCCGTTTCCCCAAGGGAGACTTCCAACGCCGGCGGGGGGTGGGTCTGCCTCCGCCCGGCGGGCCGTCAGAACGTCCGAATTCGAGGGCAGGGCGCTGCTGACGTGTGCTTGTGTGCACAGGTTTTGGTCGAACAGCCCAGCCATGTTCGGGTAGGGGAAAGAAAAAACGGGTACTCCTCCGGGGGGTGAAAAGCCAAGATCGGGTGCACCCGGTGGAAAGTCGGCCAAGGTCGGGTAGGGGCGGGCGTCGGCCAATCCGATGGTGTCATGCGGTCGCTCTCAGCAGCGTAATGTAGGGGTACCCGATAATGGCCGTGTTTTGACCGGGTGTACCTGATTTTGGCCGCTGCTCCTTCTTCTATATAGTTTCATCGCTGGCCTCCTTCCTCTCATTGCCCACTTTCCGAGGCATGTCACTATTCTATATGTTGTTATGTAGCTATGTACGTGTTCTGATATGCATGCGTGTCTGCGAACGACGCTGGTGGGCCTGGCCGGCGAGAACCTGTGAAGCACGATCTACCCCGGCAAATGGGGGATATGAAAGGTATCTTGTTTGTCCGCATGGAAGTGGAAAACGAAGGTATCACCCTTGGCGTGATCTTGAGCCCTCCACGTTAACGTCGTGTGTCCATGTGGGTAGACCGGCACGGCATGGCAGGTGTAACCCCGGCGGTAAATAAACCTCTCCCTAGTAGGGGTAGAAGGAAAGTGACACGTGATTTGTTCATTGGATTGATGGGTAATATTTGATTCTCTATTGTTGTACTCATTTGTTTGGCATCGTGTGCAGAGCGGGAGCGTGAGTTCCATTTATTTGTTTAGTTTATCTCTCCTTCGCCCGAAATACCATATCGTGTGGGGCCTGTCTATTAATATTCTTGATGGTTGGTTATCACTTTTGCGACTTTTCTGGGACCACTTCAATTTGCCTTTGTTTGCTCCCAGAATTGTGTACTCTTTGTGATTAGTTGACCTGAGCCCACGAACGGATCACGGACGGCGCCCGCGTAAGTTGGACCGATACGGATCTTAGGAAGGTACTGAGCAGAGACTGGAATTTTTCTAATGTGAAGGCAACGACGCCGATGACGCAGTTCGACGGTCACACAGTACATCTGCTCTTCAGTGCTTCTGGGAAAATCTCGGCAGCGCCGGTTGTGACGATGCCGTCGATGTCCGTTGGCGCCGGTGCTGACGCTGCTGATGGCGCTACTGGGGTCAACGGTGTGGAAGTGGCACNCAGTAGCGCCATCAGCAACGTTAGCACCGGCGCCAACGGACGTCGACGGCATCGTCACAACCGGCGACGTCGTGATTCCCGATCAATTGCACGCAATTCAATTTCCGGAATTGATAATGACCTTTAAGACAAGCGACGACCAGGTGTGGAGGCAATAATGCCCCTAAACCCAGGCATGGAACTGTCTCCAGCATCCAATCAGCGCGCCTCATGGTTTCATTCGTTTATACATCTAGGTTTGGCGAAATACCCAACAACGAAAACTATTCCCAGCAACGACAACAGCAAAGAGGCAGGGAGGGGGAGGGGTGCTGGCGAGGCGGTGAACGCGGACGTGCGATGGCAACGACGGAGGTCACGTGACAGATACCATCCTCTCTGGCGACACGGTACCACGGCTGTGGCCGTGGGTGTTCGTGAGCCCTAGCCCTGTTAAGGACCGGCGGACTTGGGGCTGCTGTTTAACTGTGTGTATTAGCTCGCATGAGAGAGGAGAGAGGGAGAAGGAGGAGAGGCCCCAATTCTCGAGAGAACACGGGGACTCCGCACTATCATCCAAAGCCTCTCAGCACATACCCTTCAAGTTGTCCCAGCTGCGTCCTACGTAACGGCTACTTTTCGACTTTCTACTTCTACGCACGAACACCCTCCCTGGTTCTTTACGCCAGTGAAGAACCTCTAGTGCGTCGAAAATACGTCCGAAAGACCGAAACACAACGACAAACCAAAAGTAAAGGGGAAACCCGGCCACCGGATCAAAACCCCTCAGAAATTCAACGCCTCACGCCGATCATATCACGAAAGATTCCAACGGCTCAAACAAAATCCAATAGCCGTCCATATCACCAATGATTCCAACGGCCGTACTGCAAGAAGACAAATATAAAACCACTCCAGACGCTCGGATTACAAATTCTAGGCAACGCTCTACTACCTCGAGCAACGCCTCTGACGAATCCTTCCGACATGATGGAACGAACTCCTTGCTGTGCAGCACCAACTGATTCTTCAGGTGTCACACAAATACAGGCAACGCCCTCCCTGTCTATCTGCATTCCACACGAATACTGCATCGAACAGGTACGTTCTCCCTGCCTTCGGTTCAACCATCTGCAATCCTACACGAACTCAAAATCATGACCTGTTTCGAGCTGAAAAATCAATCAGACTCGATTCTCCAAAGGATGCCCGCTTTTGAGAAATATACAACCTGCCGAATGTAGCCTGCTTCAAACAAGGTCCACCATCTGCAAACTACCAAATCAATCCTCAGTTCTCCTTCAATCAAGGATACATCAACTTGCTACTGAACCTTCAAGCACAACTACGCAAAACACAAACGCCCCCCCACAACTTGGTAACGCTGTACTACGAACCCCAAGCATCTACGCTGTCTGCATTATAGACAAGCACACCAGGAACCTAAGCCTAGTGCCCTCCCTTGCGCAACACCGGCGCCCAGAGGAACACGCACATGGCCATCACCTAGATGTCGCTTCCCAAAACAGACACAACCAACATGCTTCCGTACGTGAAAAAAAAATCGACTTTCACTAACAACTGCATACCTGCCCGACACACCAATCTGTCAAGTTGCATAAAATCAAGACCGGGCGTACTCTTCAAGCGTAACATTCTCAAAAGAAACACGCCCGTTTCCACCCTC